CTGACAGTCGGGTGGGTAGGTTGGCGTCTCATAGCAAGGACCAATGCTCAGGCGACAGCATCTGCGTGGAGGAGCTCGCCCGGAGGAGGCAGCTCCTCCCGGCGGGCCAGCGTTGGTTCTTGGGTGCCTGCAAACGCAGGACCTTCCTAAGGTAGGAGTTGGAGCTAAACTGGACTGACAATAGCCAGTCATTTTTCTTAGGTTTGATTTCGGAGCTTTTGCAAAGGAAGTTGTCTTTTAGGTAATTAATTACAATATATTTTATTGCTGAGTTGATACTTCTAACCAGTTTATAAGCCATCTGGATAGCTCTAATTTCTAAAAGTTTCTTTTTTTTTTTTTAGATACAGGGTTTTGCTGTCACCTGGGCTGGAGCGCAGTGGTGCAGTCAGACTCACTGCAGCCTTGATCTCTGGGGCTCAAGTGATCCTCCTGCCTCAGCCTTCTGAGTAGCTGGGATTACAGGTTTGTGTTACCAAGCACAGCTGGTCTTTTTTTTTTTTTTTGAGTCGTCTCATTCCATCACCTAGGCTGGAGTGCAGTGGTGGGATCACAGCTCACCACAGCCTGGAACTCTTGGGCTCAGGTGATTCTCCGACCGTAGCCTCCCAGATAACTGGGACTACAGGCATGCGCCACCACGCCCAGCTAATTTTTTGACTTTTTGGTAGAGACGAGATCTTGCTATGTTGCCCAGGCTGGTATTGAACTCCTGGGTTCAAACAGTTCTTTCTCCTCAGCCTCCCAAAGTGCTAGGATTATAGGCGTGAACCACCATGCCCGGCCCTAAACGTTTATCTCTGAGCTAAGGTAGTCAGAAGACTTCGTGAACATAAATAATTCAAAATTATTGAAATATTAGGTAAGTTTTACTTCCAAGGAAAAACATCACTTTTTCATCTTTTATCCTCCTGAGATTTTAGGCGTGAATTTCTACCTAAGGCACTACTTTTGAAAAGACAGATAGCTGTGAGACCTTCCCTTGAGAGTTTGTGGAGGACTAAGAATAGTGTTTGTTTTGTACAGTATCCTATTCTAAGTGGAAACACATGTATGACAAAAAGGCACAGTTTGCTAATACCTGGAGTTTCTAATGTGACTTCAGATCTCTGAAGTTTTCTAAAGATAGCACAGTAGTTTTGCCCAGGAACATGACATCAGATAAGCTTCCACGTTAAGAAGAGTTCCCCCTGAAGAACTTCGTAGTAACTTAGATGGACTTAGAGTCTAAAATACTCAGTGATCTATCGCAGAAACAAAGAGCTGAGTACCACAGTATCACTTATAAGTGGACCTTGAGCAATGATCATAATACTATAAGAAAGAGATTGGCAGTAGTGGGAAACTGCCCGGGGGTGGGGAACACCTCATCATCAAGGGCACCTGCACAGTGAACATTTGTATACCCAACCCTGAATTGTACCCCCCATCTTTTTTTTTTTTTGAGTTGGAGTCTCACTTGGTCACCCAGACTGGAGTGCAGTGGCCACTTCTGGCCACTGCAGCCTCGCCTCCTGGGCTCCGGCGATCCTTCCGCCTCAGCCTTCCGAGTAGCCAGAATTACAGGCGTGCGCTACCGCGCCCGGCTGAGTTTTGGATTTTCTGTAGAGATGAGGTCTCGCTGCCCAGGCGGGTCTCGAACCTGTGGGCTCAGGCAATCCACTCACCTCAGCCTCCCAAAGGCGCGGGTTTACAGGCTGAGCCACTGAGCCCGGCTGTACCCCCCATCTTTGACAATTAAAAAAAAAGATTTCTCCTTGGATTCCCAAGGTATTAATGAGAATTTGGGCAGTTGTGTCAGTGAAAATACCAGAATTATGGGCCGATTTGTGTTTGAATTCGCTGATCATAGCTATTTTTAACCTTCAGTGTGCAAAGAATTACCAGGGGAGCTTGTTAAAAATGCACATTCCCAGTCGGGCTCGGTGGCTCAGCCTGTAATCCCACGTCTTGGAAGGCTGAGGTGAGTAGATTGCCTGAGCCCGCGGGTTTGAGACCCGCCTGGGCAACTAGACAAGACCTCATCTCTACAATAAATCAAAAAATCAGCTGGGCGTGGTAGCGCGCGCCTATATTTCCAGCTACTTGAAAGGCTGAGGCGGAAGGATCGCCGGAGCCCAGCAGGTCAAGGCTGCGGTGGCCGGAAGCAGCCACTGCACTCCAGTCTGGGTGACAGAGTGGGACTCCAACTCAAAAAAAAAAAAAAAAAATGCACATTCCCAAGACTGTCTTCTCCAGTCTGGGCAGGGCCTTGGAAGCATATTTTGCGGCCAGGTGTGGTGGCTCACGCCTGTCATCCTAGCATTTTGGGAAGTGGAGGTGAGAGGGTTGCCTGAGCCCAGGGGTTTGAGACCAGCCTGGGCAACTTGGTGAGACCTTGTCTCTACAATAAATAGAACAAAAGAAACACGTGTCTTGGAAAACACCAGCCGGTTTTCGTGATATGTGTTTTATATAACTTCTCTGAGCGATGAAAATAAACCTGAAGTTAGGAAGCTTTTCTCCTTGTGTTTAGAGTCTTGGGAGCTTTCGATTTGGAACTCAGCAGTAGATGAAACGCCCTCGGTCTCTGTGTCCTCCAGGGGCACAGATGGCGTGGAGGCTGGCGGTGGCAGTCCTCAGCCCCGAGGGTGCGTCAGAATGGCCAGGAGCAGGTGCAGAAGTTTCAGATACAGAAGATCTGGGACAGGGCCTGAGAACCTGCGTTTTTAATGTTCCTAACAGGTCTGGGTGATGCCGATGCTCCGGTCCAAGGACTGCACTTTGAGTGTGGTTAGTTTGTCATTAGGGGCACACTGCGGGGAAAATGCCAAAGCTCTGGCTTCACTTTGGCAGGTGTGATGCGTGGACTGAGCACCTGGGGAGGTGGGGCTGACAGAAGTAAGAGCCTCTGTCCTCAGCATGGCCACAGTTTTGGTGAATCTTGCTGATAAAGTAGTCGGTGGGATCACCCACATTCCGGTAGTAGATAGTTAAGAGATGAGGTCTCAGTCTGTGTCTAAAAATGTGGCAGTGGCGTGATCATAGCTCCCTGTAGCCTCAAACTCCTAGGCGCCAGCAGTCCTCCCGCCTCAGCCTCCCAAGTAGCTGGGACTTCAGGTGAGTGCCACTGTGCCTGGCTAATTTTTTTGTTTTTGTAGTGAAGGGGAGCCTTGCTCTGTTGGTCCTGGACTCCTGGCCTCAGTGGGTCCTCCCACCTCGGTCTCCCAAAGTGCTGGGATTACAGGTGTGAGCCGCTGTATCAGAAAGATGTTTCTTGTTTTTAAAAATCAAGTGCAAATAGCTGAGTTTATGCATATTACATTTGCGTAGAATGGGTGACATTGGGCTTCCTGGCCTGGTCAGGGCTTGTTTTCTCCTCTCTTTTGGGTCCTACTCAAGCCTTCTCGGAGCTGCCTGTGCTGTCCACCTCAGGACTCTCTCAGCCTCAATGTACATGATTGGCACTTACAAATATGTATCTCGTGTCCTGTTTCAATACGACAGACCAAAGGTGACTTGGAATCTCTATGCTTGTTTTTTCTTATCCATAAGCGGAAATGTCTTTCTACTTTTGGGATTGTTTTGGCCTCAGCGTTTTGCTGTGTGGTTTTTTGTTTAAAAACGACAGATAATGCATGGTATGGCTCTCATCTAAAAAAGGATGGGGGAATGATTTTCTTCCAGCAGAGGAAGCTTCATTTCAGAATGAGTGCCTGAATTGCACTTGCCAGCTTGGGAAGGTGCGTCCGCTCACTGCCCGGTGTGAGCATCCAGATGGTAGTGTCAGAAATGCGGTGTCTGTCTGCTCTGCTTGTGGCGTCCTGATGATGTTTTATCGTGCGCGGGTTCTATCTGTGTTCTTAGATGTGAGCATTATGAAAGCAGAGAAATTGGCCTTAAAAAACATGTGCAGCAGCTACCTGTCTGGCGCTTACGGAGACGTGGGAGGTGCTGTGCCCCTGGGTGCTGTGGTCCTGGCCAAGGCAGAGATGGGAACAGGGACACAGGTTCAGGCGGGAGGTCGGGACGGCAGCGGAGAGCGGTCGTGGGCCTTTGTGATGCTACTGAGCAAGCCAATGGGCATTTGTTGATGATGGAGGGAAGAAGAACTGAAACCACAGGCGCCCTCAGTAGGCTCGTTTGGCCTGGGGTTTGGCAAAATTATATATTTGGTCCTGCAGGTTCTCGCACAGCGCCTTATCTCTCTGGGGGAAGGAGTTTAAATTGCATCTTGAGAATAATTGTAAATGCTGCTTCTTGACCTGGAGATGTAGATGTCCAGTCTTTAGAAGGTCGAGGCCAGTTCAGGGTGGTGGTGGCCACCTTGATGAAGTCGGGAGTTGTCTTTAGGGGCTCTGGGAACCCCTATCTAGGGACAGGTTGTGAGTCCAGCTTCCTTAGAGCCGCGCCTTCGTCTGCCAGTCGGTGGCAGGAGGGGATGGGGGGTGTGTGGAGCTGGGCCTGAGTGGTTGGTCCCAGGTTCTGGGGACAGCAGAATGGAAGGGTGGCCCCGTTTCACAAGAAGTTACTTCCTCTGGAATTCCAGTGTGTTCGTGTTCTCCATCAGCCTGCATTTTAGCCACACTCTGGGGGTGCAGATGGTAGACTCACTGTTCCTGGGGTTGGCAGGTGACAGATAACGTGGGGGCGACAGAGCCCAAGTGGGTCCAGTGTCCACCCTCAGGGAAAAGGCTAGACAGCGAAAGTTTTAGGGTTGGGTCTGCATGTACGCAGAATGACCAGGCCAGGGAAATTCTCCTCCCTATCAGATCGGTGTGGGTTGTATGAGCTTTGGACTTCGTGGAAGAAGAAGGAAGGCTGGGGAGTAAGGAAGCAAGCTGCTTGTGACTTTGGTGGAAGCAGACCCTTGCCACCAGCAGCCTGTTTCTGAAGCTCACGACTTCGTTGTTGAGATTTACAAGAATAGAAAGCGCGCCTGTCCGTGTCCAACGACCTGGTTCCCTATTCTCCAGGAGGCGTGATCGCCTACATCAGCTCTTCCAGCTCCGCCTCCAGCCCCGCCTCCTGTCACAGCGAGGGCTCCGAGAACAGCTGCCTGTCCTCCTCCTCCGTCCCGTCTTCTCCGAACAGCTCCCACTCTGACGCCAATGGCAACCCCAGGGGCGGGGACCTCGCCGGCATCGAAGGCATCCTGAAGGGCGATCGGCTCGACTGCCCCATGAAGACCGGCAAGTCCGGCGTTCCCGGGGTGACCAAGAGTCACAGCGGGGTGACAAGTGAGTTGCTGTCGTTTTGTAGGGTTGCGGCGGGGCGTTGCAGGGGTCGACACGGTTGACTTTTCACGGGGCGGCGGGGGCGTCATGTTTCGTTTCTGGGTGTGCCGTTTCTTCCCTTTCAGGCCTCCCAGATCAGTAGTTAGGGAAGAAAGCAGGGGTGACCTGGAGGCCGCAGTCGGGCATCATCCTGGCGTCTTGTCTCAGAGCGAGGGGGTGGCTCTCCCCTCTGCCTGGCCTGTTCCCTCCGGGGTGCCCCTCCTGCCACATCGTCACGGGTGCCTTCTGGACTGCCAGGGCCGAACCTGGCTTCTAGGACAGAGTACTGCTGGTTGTGGGAAGGGTTGACTGCCATGCAGTGGGGGTGAGGAAGCACCGCAGGACTGGAAGGGGGGGGGAGTGGGTGGCGGACGTGGCCCCCACAGGGCTGGAGTGGGGGTCCGCGGGGGGCGGGTCCGTTGGCTCCTGTGGTGAGCTGAGCTCCCAGCTGCGCCTGGGGACGGCCCTTTGCACCTCTTATGGCTCGACTTCTCTGCCTGAAGTCCTGATTTTTATCCAGCTGGTGTAAGGTGACTCTCAATTCACCCAATTTCAGCGTATCTTACAAATCGGCAGGAAGGGGAAAACCCAGCTGGTGAGGTTCTTTTGGCAGTACTGTGAGCTGTGTTTAAAAGAAAATGGGATTACCTGTGATTGGTTAGTTGAATGTAACGATTTTTCATTTACAATGTGAAAGGAGATGTGTGTCTTTTTAAAGCACTTGCAAGCTGACAGGAACAAAATAGGGAGTTGGAAGGAAAACCAGGAAAGTGCGCTCCAGCGTGTGTCTCTTGTGCCCTAGAGTTCAGTGGCATGGTCCTGCTGTGCAAGGTCTGTGGGGACGTGGCCTCGGGATTCCACTATGGCGTTCATGCCTGCGAAGGCTGCAAGGTAAAGCCTGCGTGCGTGTCTAGCTGTGGACTCGGGCTCTGGAAGCGGGGGCGGGCCTGCCAGTTGGCATGACTGGTCATCAGGAAGGAGAGAGAACTCGGCTGTGCTTCTTGAGTAAAAGGCACTTGATGCGTACCTTGTTTTGAGAAATGTTCTTAACCTAGTGAACATCATCTGCTCTTTCAAACATGCCTCCGGCGTGAAGCCAGTGTACCAGACGCCCATTCGTTAACCTGTCAGGCATTGTTTAGGAGCAGAGACACTGTGAGGAAGAGACATGGCCCTCCTTGTGTCTTTCTGGAATTTAGGGGTTTCTGTTTGTTTGTTTTTTGAGTCAGAGTCTTACTCCGTAGTCCAGGCTGAAGTGCAGTGGCATGCTCACGGCCACCCCAGCGTTGACCTGCTGGGCTCTGGTGATTCTTGCTGCCTCAGCCTTCCAAGTAGCTGGAACTACAGGCACATGCCATCACGCCTAGCTAATTTTTTGATTTATTGTAGAGACAAGACCTCACCAGGTTGCCCGGGCTGGTCTCGAACCCCTAGACTCAGGCAGTCCTCTCACCTTGGTCTCCCAAAGTGATGGGATTACAAGCTTGAACCATCACACCCAAGCAATCAGGGTGGTGTTTTTTTTTTTTGAGTCAGAGTCTCATTCTGTCGCCCAGACTGGAATGCAGTGGACACTGCAGCCTTAACCTACTGGGCTCAGGCTATCCTTCCACCTCAGCTTACAAGTTGCTGGAACTACAGGTGTGTGCCATCACACCCGGCTAATTTTTTTTTTTTTTTTTTGAGTTGTGGTCCCACTCCGTTACCCAGGCTGGAGTGCAGGGGCACGCTCACGGCCACTGCAACCTCAACCTACTGGACTCTGGCGATGCTTCTGCTTCAGCCTTCCAAGTAGTCAGAAGTACAGGCATGGGCTACCATGCCCGGCTAACTTTTTGATTTGTTGTAGAGACGAGGTCTCGCTAAGTTGCCCGGGCTGGTCTTGAACCCGCAGGCTCAGGCAGCCTATTCACCTCAGCCTCTCAAAGTGCTGGGATGACAGGCTGAGCCACTGAGCCTGGCCTCATTTTTTGATTTATTGAAGAGGTGAGGTCTCGCCAAGTTGTCCAGGCTGGCCTCGAACCCCTGGGCTCAGGTACTCTTTTTACTTCCACCTCCCAAAGTGCTGGAACTACAAGTGTGTACTACCACACCCAGCTGATTTTTTGAATTATTGTAGAGACGCGGTCTTGCCAAGTTGCCCAGACTGGTCTTGAACTCCTGAATCCAGGCAGTCGTCTTGCCTCTGCCTCCCAGAGTGCTGGAATGACAGGTGTGAGCCACTGCACCTGGATCAATCACGTTTTTAAGAATCTGTCATTAAGCCAGGTGCGGTGGCTCATGCTTGTAATTCCAGAGCTGGTGGGTTCGAGACCAGCCTGGGCAACATGGCAAGACCTCGTGTTTATAGTAAATCAAAAAAATTAACTGGGCGTGGTGGCACACGCCTGTAGTTCCCGCTACTTGAGAGGGCGAGCCAGAAGGATCACCTGAGCCCAGCAGGTGATGGCTGCAGCGGCCGTGGGCGTGCCACCACACTTCAGCCTGGGCAACAAAGTGAGACTCCAACTCACAAAAAAAAAAAAAAAGAATTCATCATTCCATGTGTCAAGAGTTTTGGAATTTGGTTACAAGAATGAGATGGAAAATGTGGCCGCAGGCAAGCTCTGGTGACAGGGTGAAGTGTGGTTGTGACAAGGGGCACTTGGGATGATCACCGAGACCCCGAGGGAGAGTGTTCCATTTGGCTGGAAGGTGTAGGAGCCTGGTCACACCAGCAGGCATCTGGGCTTGCTCTGAGTGCAGTGCTCGTTGCCCCGTCCTAAGCCAGGCATGTCCTGGGTAGCTGGTCGGGTATGCGTGGCGCCCGGCGGAGGTCACTGGGCGTCTTGGAAACGCGTGGGTCCGTCTTCCTTTTGCGCAGGGCTTCTTCCGGAGGAGCATCCAGCAGAACATCCAGTACAAGAAATGCCTGAAGAATGAGAACTGCTCCATCATGAGGATGAACCGGAACCGGTGTCAGCAGTGTCGCTTCAAGAAGTGTCTGTCCGTGGGGATGTCGAGGGACGGTACGTTCCAGGGCCGAGTGTCGGTCCTGGGTCTGGAGGGTGGCCCGCTGGCCACCAAAGCCCCTGTGCTTAGGGCGAAGCCAGCTTCAGAAAGCTCATTCTCGTGCCCCGGGAGACACCAGACTCCTCAAAATCACATTTCAGCACCATCATCCCACAGCTTTGGTTCCCCCCCTTTTTTTTTTTTTGAGTTGGAATCTCACTCTGTTGCCCAGACTGGAGGGCAGTGGCCGC